GTCGCAGAATATTACTATTTTGTATTTAGGAATTGCCTAATGCAAGGCAGTCCAACGTGATAGCCGGGCAAATGCCCTCCTAAAATAAAAAAAATTGCATGAATGTATATGGTAAAATTTACATTCTGCCTCCACTCATCTTTATTTTTTAAACCCACTAAAATATAGGCCAAATCAAATCACTGTTAAAACCTTATATTAAATAAATTGTCCCCACTAATCTAAGGTCACAGGTCTGGCACTTCGCTAATGTAATGGCATGTGATAATTGATAAGGACGTGCAGAAGTGTGATGTAGTTCAAGGTTTGAGAAGGACTTAAGTCTGGGCATACAGGCACGATGCACTTACTTTTCCTCTGCTTTCACACGGATCTTTGCGTAAGAAGAAGGGAAATGTTCGTACATGTCCAACAAAATGGTTCAAGGAACATGATACATGGGGTGATCCGTAAGCTTTATGCTCGGCAGGAAGGATGTCTCTAACGTATTGGGGTCGGAGCCAGAAAAAAGTGCATGGGGGCAAGCTGTAGTTTCCTGGGTACAATAATTGAATATATGCCTGTATTGTACTCCCTCCAATAAACTTTATTAATCACTTTTTTAAAAATTAAAATAATTCACTTTATAAATTATTAAATTGAATAAAAACATAATATTATATAATTTATTTACATTTTAAAAGTTATGCTCATAATTTTATTAAATTTTTTTTATATTTTTATTATAATAAAATTAATAAAAGTAATTTTTAAATAAAACCGAACAGAGTATTGGCCAAAACATCCACACACTTTGGTTATAGTATGGATGAAATGCCTCTTCGTTTAAGCATTATCGCGTCCTGTAAATTTGAAGAAATCCCATTGAATTGCGTGGGGACAAACAAACGCTATATATACATATTTATATCATCATCACCATCATCAATATATCTCCCATGCTTCCGGTTAGGCCGATGAACAGTGCAAAGCGCCAACACCACTCATGTTTTCCTGTTTATCTGAACAATAACGGCGGCTCTGTCAGTTTAGTGGCCTCTCTTCTTTTGAGATTCAATTTCAAATTCATCCTCTTCTTAAATCTCTCTCTCATTCTCCTTTACTTTTATATATACGTGTATTTTTTTTTAATTAATATTGACTTCTGGAAGAATAAATTTTTTGAATATACATGCTAAACAGGTGGAAATGCAGAGGAAAATTGACGACCTTCTCCTTCCTTTGTACTTATTTTCTCTCATTTTGCGCTTCTTCTATGATCTTTCTCCACTGTTTCTGATGATAAATATATACCTATTTGGTCGCAAGCTGTCTTTTCCTTTATGGGTTTGATTAGAAGCGCCAAACTTTAGGTTATGGGATACCAAGACTCAAAAGCTTTTCTCCCATCAATATTCCATTATTTTGTGCTTGTTCTTTCTTATGATTCCCACGCTAGCATATGAAGTTGTAAAAGTTTTCTGTTTTCTTTATGAAATATATTTTTATGATTCATTTAGGCAACGCTTGAGCATCAATTATTTCTTTGTATCTAAGAAGTGTTTTTTATGTCTGTCTATTGTGTTTCCATCATGAAGCATGTTCTGGTTATTACAATCTTATTAGCACTCATTCAATGCTTAATTTATATTCATCTTTTTATGATCCCTGCATCACACGAGATGCACAGTAAAATCTTATTTATATGCCTCCAAGTTCTCATAAAGTACACACTTGTAGCTAGCTCGCAACCTCAAATAATACAAGTGAAACAAATAGTATAGTATAAGTAGGGGGACCAAGGATTTAGATTTGATGTAATGCATTTGGATTCAATAGTATTTGGATTTGAATCAAATTTTTTATTTTAATATATAAAAGCTTATACATTTATATTTGATCTAAATTCAAATCCATATTTTATTATATTTATTCATAATTTTAAATTCTTTTCTATAATCTAGTAATTATTTGAAATTTTAGCATTTTAACTATCGTTGTTTCGGTGTCCTACCTCTTTAAAATTGAGTTAATATATAATTTAAATTTTGAGCTATAGGTTTATGAGCAATTTAAACCTTATATCTGTAATTGATACATTTTGAATCATGAATAATCAAACTTAATTAGGGCATCATCACTGTTATTATTAATTTAAAATGAACTCCTTGTTACTTTAAGTACCAAAAAAAAAAATATTCCTCTCTAGAAACCAATTCTGCCAAGATGACCTAGCTTAGTCAATGACCCCTCATCGTTGTGCTCTCCTCCATCATCGAGCAGTCAAGCTCCAAACCCCTCCTTCATCTTCTCTGTATTGCCCCATCGTAGCACATAAAGACTTTCTCCACTCTCAATCATCGACTCGTCACTCAGCTCTCCTTTAGACTTTCTTGCAAGTGCTTACCTTTAATCCCTCATGCTTGTTCTTGTTGTCCTCGTCTAGTAGCTCAGCTTTCCACACACTATATTAAAGATCTCTTCGTGGTTCTCGAGCTTAAAGCTGACAACTATGAAGTCTGCATTCTTGCATAGCTCTGATGATGTTAGCAGCTCTTGAGGTTCTCCAATGAAGAACTTCGCTTGATCTGTGATGTCAACGTTGCTCAGGAGAGTTTTGGTGGGATTAATGTGGTCGAGGTTCCCAACATTGCGGATGACTTAACCCTGAGTTTGGTGAGTTGCGACCATTATGGCTAACTTGGCGTACACGATCCATTTGGAGGGCATGCATCAGAGTCAGAGGAACACCAAGTGTTGATCTTAAAGCAAAGCTGCTTCTTGGACAACGGTGGTTGTGTCAAGAGAGAGGGGACGAAAATTAGAGAGATGCAAAGAGAGGGGAGGAAATATCATAGAAAGATGCAAAGAAAGGGAGAGCAAGGAGGAAATTTTGTCACGCAAGGTTCATACATGGATCTCACTAATTAAAATTACTGTCATTTAGTTCAAATTAATAGTAGGAGCCAAATTGTTTTAAGTTTAATTATTCAAAATTTAAAATATATTAATTATGGGTATATAATTCAAATTATCCTTGGATCTATAATTTAAAATTCAAATTTCATATTAACCTTTTAAAATTTTTTATACTACTCAAATAAAAGATTTTAAATCAATGTTTTTAGAATTGGACTGGATATTGAATCAAAATGCCAGCGATTTATAGTTTGTATGATCTAACCCAGGTTCATGGTCCAACTAGGCTGGACTAATGGTCGAACCGATAACATAATAATTAAATTAAAAAATTATATATGTATTTAATGATCTAAATATAAAAAATAAATATAAAATTACTGCTTAATTTAAAAATAAAATAAAATATTTTAAGTTTATCATAACTTAACAAATCATATGATGCAACATAATATTAAATGATTAAAAAAGTTGATCATTTCTAAAAAAGAAAAGAAAAGGCTATTTTTTTAGCAATTCAATTTTAAAAACAGATCTAGTTCTCGGTTCCCATTTGACTGCCATCAAAAGCAACCTAATCTGGCTTAACTTTTCAAGCAATTTTTTTGACTTGATTGAGTTGTTAGTTTGATCAGTCAACAATCTAATTGTTTGGTTCGATTCATTTTTTAATCATTGTTTTAAATACATTAATTTTAAATTTAAATTCATTATTTCAAATGTTAAGTTAAAGAATTTTGAGATAATAAACTTTTAGTCCCTAAATATATCGTTTATCAATTTAATCTCTCAAATTTAATTTTTATTAATTTAATTTATTAAATTTATTTCAATTATCAATTTAATCTTTATTATTTAAAAAGGAAGTTATATCGTTAAAATTTGTTGACATAGATAATAAAATATTGATAATAATTATGCAAATTAATGAAAAGAAGCAGGGCGGATCCAGAAACAATTGTGTGGGGCTAAAATGCAAAATTACATAATAGTTGGGGACAAATTAATTTTAGCATTTTTTTACAAATAGAAATAAAGTTTTTTTTTTTGTGACATGAGAGGTGCTCGGCCCACGATCAATCCCTAAAAAACAGTATAATTATTTATATATTAAAAAAACTTAGAAATTTTTAAAAGAAAAAAATAAAATATAATGTAAGGGATTATATTAATAAAGATTAAATTAAATTTACTTTCATTTAATTATATGCATATTAAATCATCAACATACTTTGCACATTGAATTTTTTTAAGAATCAATTTTCTTTTTAGAACTTAAATAATTTACGCGATAATTTAAAAAATATAAAAAACTAAATTAATAAAAATAAAATTTGAATGATTAAATTAATAATTGAGACAAATATAGGAACTAAATATTTCATTATCTCAAGAATTTCATATGGCTATTCTAAAAACATTGAAGGACAAAACTAGTACTCTCTCAATTTAAAAATGTGAGACATTTTTAATCGAATCTTATTCCCCAATAAAGTAATTACCTACTTTCAAACTAATCATATCTTTTTATATTTATTTCTATTAAATACCCTATAATAAATATAAAGTTACTATCAATAGGGATAATTTTAGAAAAAACAAATGATTATATCTTGAAAGATTAAAAATGCCTTACATTTTTGAACATCTAACTCTTCAAAAAATATCTTATATTTTTGAACGGAAGGAGTATATGTGTATTTTGAAATAATAATTATCAATAACTATTAAATATATAATAAAATTTATATTATCAATAAATAATAATATATAATAAAATTTATAACAATTTATATATTCATCCTTCAAACTAGGATAACATATATAGGTAAATGTGTTTAGTTAGGTATTTATCAGACAAATTTACTTCATAAAAAATTCACTAAAACATGCAATAAAAAATAGCTAAAACATTTTTATACTAAATAAATACTTTTCCTTGGAGATATTTTCAATTCGATTTGTAAAAGACTCCTTTGCTCGATGTTACTCTTACTAAATATTAGATTAAAAAAAAAGATAAAAATAATATTCTATTTAAAATAATGATATTTTTTTTTATTATATTTATAAATAACCCTTAACGCGTCCTCACTTCCCTCGGTGCTACTCGCAAACCGGAGCACGAGGGCTTCTCGTTCTCCGCATGAACTCTCAAACTCTCGCCCCTCAATCTGCATTTTACGAAGAGTGCTGCACTTATTGACTCTTCCTTCTATCTTCCTGACACGTAAGTACTCTCTTCCATCTATTGTATACCTATGCATTGAGAATCAGAATCAGTCATGGTTTAGAGGTTGTCGGAGGGAATGTGACTAAATTGAACAACGTAATCCCACGGTTCTTCTTTACCATTATTATGGATTGATCGCACTTGGATTATCTATCACAAAGATTTGACTCAGTAACTCGTAAGTTGCATTACCCCTTAAAAAAAAAACAAAAACAAAATTGGTCCAAAAGAAGCACAATTCCAAAGCCCAGTGGCTGCCGTTTCTCACAGCTACCGTGGGTACTGGCCGATGACCAGCCCGAGGCCTGATGAAAGAAAGGCCCTGGAATTCGGCTTTTTATTGAATACTGAGTCTCTTGACTGAGAATGAAGAACCCCCCCTTTAAGTAACAGAAGTATTTGCTTGATGCTATTTATGTCTGTATAATATATAGATGATGCTTGTAGCCCTAGACTCCTAACCTCTTTCAAACTCGACATATCATGCTCAAACTCACATGTAAGTGATTGGATGAACATATTTGGACTAGACGTTAGTGATGCTGCAAAGTAGAAGAATGTCAATAGCTGTTAAAATAGGCTTCGCTCTCTAAATTCGTTATATATTTTAAATATTTTAATTGTCCAAATTCATTGGCCAATTCTCATGTATGGTTTTGTTGAGTTCACGTAGCAAATCTTATTACTTGTGCTTTAATGTAGTTGTCACGTGCTGTGCTTCACCCTTTATATGTCATGTCGAATCCCTCAAGGAGTTTCGGTGCATCTGATAAACATCAAAGAGTAGGACCTGATTATTTTGGTTACTATGCTCATGAAGTAGTAAACTTGTTGTCACGAGATGATAATGATTTGCAATCTTCTAAAAAAACATCCAAGCCTCCTCAAAATTCATCAGGACAGGACAGTGGAAAGAGTACAGAGGAACATAGAGTTTCTTCTGGGTCATTAAATAGTGATGATTCAGACTTCAAAAAGGAAAGATTGACATCACTACTCAGGCAAAGTGTCACTGATCTTTCATCTGAAGTCAACGAGGTATATCAAGCATGCTGAACTAGTTCTTGTTGTAACTAAGGTTAGGAGCCATAGTGTAACTGCAAAATTTGGAAGATTGAGGTTTGACTTTTATACATTTCAACAATCTTAACGATATAAATTGCCTCATGTTTGTCGTTTCTCCAGTCTATAACTTATGTGTTGAGGGAGCTATTCTGTACAAGTTTCAAACTTGCCAATCACATTATCTTGAATGAGAATTAGCTATAGGCATTTTTGTAAAGAAATGAGTATAGTTGCTGTAGAATCTTTTTTTTTTTTTTGGCGTAAGTTGGCTAGAACAGAAACAATCACAGACCTGTTTGGAGTTAGTGGAATGGATTGGTTGTACTTAATGTTATGCATGGAATGTGACATCTACACATGTAGATGAAAATGCTATCTGAAGTTCAGGACAGTTCTTGTATTAATGTCTCAGGGAGTTGATGATGTGCAATATTTGTTACTTTTGTTTTAATTTTCTCATATTTCTTATTCAATCACTGCTTTTTATCTTCAGAAGAATACCCTGTATTAGTGTATAAAGCACTTATTAGAACTTCCTTCATTCAGATTCAAAAATCTTACTAATATAAAACAAATTTTGCAATGCTCTCCATTAGTTGATAATTGATATCATTGATTATTTGGTTTTGTTCTATATGTTTGAAGTGTGTGTTTGGGGAGGGTTTTGATTATTGAGGATTTTAATACTATGCATTGTGTCTAGCGTATCCCATCCATATCCAAAATTTTATTTTGGGATAATTACATACAAGTCTCACAAAATACATTAATTCTTTTAAAGTCCATTGATAACTGAACTAAGGAAAATTACAACACATTGTGTTGTCAATAGCCTTAACTCAGTTGTCAATAGACTAATTGTATTGTGTGGGACCTTAAAGTAATTCTCCCTTTTATTTTTCCTCTTTTCAACATTACATGGAAGACAAGAGTTCATCTAATGTCAACCTTTAGGTTTTAATATCGTTATTAGGGGAAGCCAAATGAAGCAAGTAGACCATGTGTATTTTTTTCATGTGCCTTTGTATCTAGTAAACCTATTAACATAATATAGCTCTGTAACAGTCTTCACAAAAATCTGGAATAGAATATTTGGAGCAGGTGAGGAATATATTTTCTGTTTTCCACATAAACAAGGGAAGACCAACTGTTTTTACTGGTGCGATTTCGGAATTGAAAGGTGAAATGGGAAAAGTTATGTCTTTGGGTGTTTATTGAAGCAAAAGAAGAGTATTTCAAGATTTGACGTTTGCGATTATTTTCTCCGAGGCACTGTCATGGTTTCAGTTGGGTGCTTTGTATTTGCTCTTTCTGGAGGAATCTTGTTACAAGGTTCTCAGTGTGATAAGAAAGCTCTTGTTCAACGTTGCTTTTCTCATTTTTTTGTCTACAAACCATTCTTTTTCTTGAAGTTGAAGTTGAACAACTTTCCTTCACTTTTTTTTTTTATTAATTTTATTGAAGTCTTCTTTTACCTTCTAAATTTATAAAATCTTTCATATGAAACAAATTCATGAACATAAAGCATATACCCTGACATTATTCTTCTTCTTCACCTTCTCCTTCTCATCCTCTCTCTCTCTCACTCCGGCCTTCCAAAGTGTTTTAGTCTTTGCTGTTTATTTTTCACTCCCAATGCTTATACTCTAAACTCTGGCAGAAGTATATCATCTTAATATCATTTTCAGTTTGGGTTCCATCAGAACTTTTGTTTGTCTGGACAAGAAAAGCTAGTGACTGTCTAGTCTTGAAATGACAGATGCTCGAGCCAGTTTTAGCTATGCGAAGGTTGCAATCCAGGCTAAAAGGTGAGAAGCATTCGTCTGGTCATGCTGTTGCTGTACCTGATGATGATGCAGTGCAAATCCCTTCTAAAAAACGGAAGGTGTCAATGTCATCCCTTGAAATACACTTTCATATCAGACTTTCTATTACTTGTCTTGTGTTTGATTCTAATTATGAACAGGGTGATGACAATCAATTAGGTCCAAACACAAGTCCAGAAGAGAAGAATGAAGAGGTGAGACTAGAAACCGATTTCTACTGTATCTTTGCTGTGAAAGGTATGTTGTGGGTGTGGCGATGGTATGAAAAAGGAAGGACATTTCGTAAGTGAAGGATTCCAGCATTCTGCTTTTGTAAATTTTCAGTATCTTACATCTTTTTGGTGAAAAAGTACATTTTTAACAAAAGAAAGAAAGTGGCTTACAAGATAGATGAGGTGCCCCCCCCCCCCCCCAAAAAAAAATTACAGAAAATCAATAAACTACGGAAAGTCAATTGCATTAGTTATACACATACACATGCCAAGGTGATTTCCCTTAACAATCCATTAGCATAGCCTGAGGCAAAGCCAAAGGTAATCTCCTCCTTAAGTAAATTGTTGGGATGAACTTCTCAAAATTCTGAGACTTGGTTCGAAAACTATGATGCATATCAGTGGAGAATCTATTACTGTATCATAGGCATATGGAAGGAAGTACTGGCAGATTGAAGCCAAAATTTTGGTTCTATGAGTGATGCATGTGGTGATATAGAATGTGCTGAAATATGTGCTTCAAAAAAACTGTCAACAAGCTGATGTATATGCTTTATCTTATTCTCATTTTAGGTGAATGTTGATCTTCATTTTCTGTTGGAGAATGACCGAGTGCAGGTTGAGGAAATAGTGAAGAAACATGCTGACCAATTGTCAGGACGGGTAATTATCTGAATTTTTGTGTTCAAGGGCAGGATCATCATCTTCAATGCCTTTTCATGTTTTGTGGCATTCATACAAGGAATAAGTGATATCAAAACTTAAATTTATATAATCATGTATTGCTGTTTATATTGGTATCTAATATTTTCCTTCAGCTAGGGTATATGGAACAGCAACTGGAGCTGCTTCTTGATGCTGTAACATCGACATGCAGGTATATTGTGAATTTTTCAATAATAATAATAAAAAAGGGCGTGGTTTGAACTTGTGATGCTTTCAAGTGGTTTAAGGAAGGAAAAGGCAATTGTTTCTTCATTAGTTTTTGCTAGAATGCATGAAAAGAGTATCCTGGCTTCATATTTCTGGCAGCTGTTTCAATTTTTTGTTACTTGTTATTTGGCATTATGTTTGAAAAGGATGATTGTTGATAACCACTTCATTGGTAATTTGATGTCATAATTTCTTTCACTTAACTTACAGGCCCATGACTCTTGATGAGAAACAGCAGCTCCAGAAACTAATTCAGAAGCTACCACCTAGAAATCTTGACCGTGTTGTGGAAATAATCAGTCAAAGCAAGCCAGTAGAACAGCCTTGTGACCAATTACTTGTTGATCTGGAAAAAGAGGTAGTGTGATATAACTGGGATTTGGTTTTGGAACCTTATTCAAACTGCTTCATTCTTATAATGATGAGTTTATGCAGGATAATATTACACTATGGAGACTGCATTATTATGTTAAAGCTGTTGAGAGAGCCAGAACACTTTCATGCAGCCAAAGGCTTGATTAGTTTTTTTTTTTTTTTTTTTTACCAACCAAAGGCTTGATTAGTTAAATGCTGTAAAAGTTTGAACTGTAGCTCCAGTCAATCAGGATTTTTAAGTAGCAGACCCGCATCTTACTATGGGTAGATTGTCAGTCTAGGATTTTTTCCCCCTGTTAATTCGGTAGCGATGGGAAGAAACTTTTCGATGACAAATGATGATAATCCACTAAGTCCCTTAGCTTTAGAAAGGCCTATACAAGGTTTGGAAGTATATTTTGCAACTTTTGATGGATGTACCTATTTTCTACTGCGTAGTATCCGCTAGTTTGTAAATTCTATGATGAATATGAAGCAAAAGCAAATATTCTCGGAGATCTTATTTTTTGAAAAACAAAAAAAAAAAAAAAAAACATTGTACCCTTAACTTAGCCCTTCCCTAAAAGAAAGGGAGATGTACATACCCACACACGCACACAGCATATGTCAATGTTGGGTTCAAATTCAAGACCTTTTCCAAGTGGAAGAGGCGGCGATGCTACTGCAACAACTAACTATTGACTTAACACCTAAATTTTCTCAGAGGTCTCAAATGTTAGTAATTTTTTATCCACATTTTTATCTTCTCTTATTATTTTAGAAATACTCTTTTCATCTTAAACTATAAAATAATTTAAAATAAAATTACGTATAATAAAACAAAAATAACTATTTTATAAGGTTAACTTTTTAAAACAAAACCATGGACTTTTAAAAATGTCCTTATTTTTTAATTATTATATTATAATATTATTTTAATTTTTTTGAAAGGCAATATCTTTTTTGTCAAATTGTCTTATATAGTGCGACAACAAAATTTCTCTGAAATTATTTTATAAAATTATCTTATAATTTAAAATGGATGAAGTATTTTATAAAATTAACACTTTAGACAACATAAACTGAATCTTCCTATGGTTACCTGCCTAATGTGATAGTAATTAATTACGATTTTCATTAATTAGCTTTAAAATAATTTCTCTGTGGAATACAAAATGTTTATGCTCAAGTTTTGCACTTGATTCATTCCCTTTTTAAAAAGGGCACTCATGTCTACCATTTTTATTCCCAACTTGCTCGATAAAACAAGGAAAGTAATCCTCTCCCATGACATTCACACGAACTTAGAACAGCGACCAATACCATCAGACCCCATTTCTATCCGTAGACGTTTTGCTTGTTGGATTCCGGATTTGCTGTCCAAAAGGGTTTTGCCCTAACTGTTGTTGAGCTATCTTTTTAGGCTCAGTTTGCCAAGCAGAAGGTACAATAAAATGCCAGTCTTATACCTGCAAATCATAATTCCTTTTGGACTTTTGGTAAATTTCAGTTCAAAATTTAGAAAATGTAGTTTTGCAAATTTTAATCCAAACACGTGAGCAATCCCACAGATGCAGAGCTTCACATTCATTCAGTCATGTATGGGTTTGAAATTCCTGTAAGCAATGACTGCATAGAAGGGATCTAGCCCAGACATTAGTCCTAAAAGCTTCATGATCCAACCCACAGGGGAATTGCTCTCCTTGGCATCGTCCTTAGAAGGAAACTTACGAACAACCTCAGGCTCTGTGAAACCTTCGACGCTTTGGAAGTACTGTACCACAAGTTGTACCCTACTGTACGCAGTGCCTTCCCTCCACGCGCTTATGGCTTTCTCATAGAACATTCTGTTACTAAAACTCACTATGAACAATCCTCCTGGCTTGAGTATTCGAAACACCTCCGCGAAAACCTGTTCTGATCTGTGTTAGTGATGTTCTGTCTAAGCAAAACACAGATAAAGACCTAGAGAATGCAAGGTTTTAATATTATTATATTAGTACTAACCTGCTCAGGTTGTTGCAGATACTGCACACTAACAGTGCACAACACTGCATCGAAACAACAACTGTCGAATCCAAACTTGTTATCCTCGTTCAGATCCCTCACAACAAAGTAGTCCAGTCTGGGATTCCTGGCCAGCTCTTGAGCATTCAACCCATGCCCCACCACTCTTGTGTAATTGACATCATTGGGAAGATGGCTAACCCAAGAGCTCATGAGGTCAAGAATCTGCATCTCAGGCCTCAACCTCTGCCTGTAAAGACTGGTGAGTGTAGAAATGAAGCCATCGTCGACATGGGTCACCAATCGTGGGTATAAGTAGAAGTCTCTGTCTGGGTATGTGTTCAGTTTGGTTCTGCCTTCTGGGGTGAGAACAAGGCGTTTGATTTTGCCGACTGAGGATTGTTGAGGGTTGAGATGATGGCTCTCGTTTGAAGTGCTTGCCATTGTGAATGAAGTTCGCTGGGTTTTGAACAGAGATGAAGAGATGGGTTGCAGATTGGTATGAAACTTTGTATAGATGGTTGGAGCCATGGATTGGAGCTTCAGATGGAGAGAACTAGAGCTTCGAATGATTTTGTTTTCACTGGATAAAATTACAGGCTAATTTTATGAATTGTAATAGATAATCTTCCAGTGGCTGTCGTAGGAGAACCGAGAACCAGAACTACTTTCATATCTTTTGGGCCTTAATACCCTAATTATCATCAAGTGTTTGTATTTGGTTCTATTGATTTTTGGGGTCTCAACATATGTTATCTCTCACTTAATTAAATGCATTAAATTTAAAAAATGATTACTAGTAAATCAAGCAATATTGAATCTATAATTACAAAAAATTAAACATACAAGTAAAAAATTTTACGATGAGCTGATCTCCCAAACTTTTGGTAAACAAAAATATCTGATCCTAACTCCTAAGCCAAGAGCACTTCTGCTTACAGCTGTTCGGCTAAAAGTTTTCCTTGCGTTATTTTAATTTCCATTAATGAGCTAGATTAAGCCAGTGGAATAGGAAGGCAACCAAACGAGCCCTTAGCGAAGGCGCTCGTAGGCGGGCCTCTATCCCTGCGTTTGAGGCTCAACCGACGGACCAGGCCCCACTTAGACTTTCTTCCACCGCCGATCTCCGTTTCACCCGTTATCGACCGCCGGCAACCTTGGTAGCGATACCGGCTCCACCCGTCCCTGCCTCGTCTTGATGTCGCTCAGCTCCATTTGCAGCGGGTGCTTCAGCACTCCGAACAAACCGTTATGATGCTTCCAGCTTCCGCTGCTCCGGCGCCGATGTTCACCATCCGACGATGACTGGAGGTAGGAAATCGACCCTCTATGGCGACCGGAATTTAGTTTCCCAATGGACTCCGACCTCACGAGGAAAGGATTCTTCCGTATTGTATCTGCTGGATTCGAGTCCGTCTGACGACCTATGATTTTGCCGCAGAATACGATGTCGTTTTGGGAGGCGGCCTTGGCAGCGGGATCTGAGATCGCCGTGGGGAATTCGAACTCAAAGTGGTTCGGCTTCATCTGAGAAGCGGGTTCGAGAAGAGGATTCATGTCAGAGCATTCTTGTAGGGAAGGTTTGTGCTTCATTACTTTCTAATATTGTAAGGTATCTTTATGAGATGAAAAGAAACAAGAGAGTTAGAGCTGAGAGGCTGAGTGACCCTATTGTGAATTGTGAATTGTGAATTATGGAGCAACATTGAGGGTTGGTTATATACAGTTAGGGAGGTGACGTGACTGAAAGCTTGACTTGAAAGATCGAGAAGTTGAAGAGAGAGCGTGAAGGAGACTGCAGAGTAGATGGTAGAATACAGAGATCGAAAAATTGACTAGGTCATGAAAGGAAAAAGGAATGTTTGTGTTTGGTTCATGAGATGTTTCTTGGAATATAAAGGTAACGTGGGATTTCTAGAGGGCATGAACGGTTGTTTCACGCTCTGGGATTGCTTTCCGCTATTTATTCAAAGGATCGAGTCTTCCACGCAATGAAAACAACTTTTTGAAAGTTGAAATACTAAGCTTTGTTTGTGATCAACCGCTTTGAACTCGGTAGGATTCCACCTTTAATGTCAACTTGGAAGTCCTTTGGATTGGTATGAGCTTTGAACAAAAGACCTCTATAGTTTGACTCTGTTTTTATGTGACACAAGAGTCTATGGCTTTGTTCTTTATGGACCCTGCAGCTGTGGCAAGCTGTGTTTGGATGGATTCAATTGAAGAGCAGCCATGAATTTATTCTCAAATTGTATGATTTTCATCAACCCTGCCCCATTATATGTGTGTGTATTGATTGCACGCTTTTCTACCTTAGATGTTGAAGAAGCCAAGAAAATGTACATAGTTACCAACTAGCATATAATTCTGCTGGTTGAAGGCTCCGTTAGCTTAATTAATGATCTCAATTTGCTCTTTATTAGGTTCAACAAGTCTATTCTAGATGGATCAAGCTTCACTCCAAACCCAAGCCCACATTGATGAATGGGGACTTATGTGGATATTAATGAGATGTCAAGGTTCTTGAGTGCAATAATCTATTTTTTTTGGTAAGGTGTTACATATTCCTTTCGAACCATAAGTTATAGTTAACTAATTTATGATTTATGAATAATATTAGTTGAAATTTTAAATTCTTAAAAATGTCAACATCTTTTCATTTATTTTATACAAAAGTCTTTATAATAATAATTAAAATTTCAATGCATGATTTTTTAAAATAAAGAATAATAAATAAAGTAAGGGCATAATTGAAAAAACAAATATAAATGTTATCTAATGTGCTATATTTTGGATCAGATGAGGTGTATAAAAGATACCTTATATTATGATAAGGAGAGAGTATATTACAAATAGTTTAGTAGGAGATTCATGGTCTCAATTAAGGAAGGGAATAGGCTAGGCCCCTAACATGGGCCTACAGCCTAGCCTATATCAAGCTTATCTTAACTTATGAGTCCAACAAGTCGACTTATTTACACACACACACATATTATGTAACATATTACTAATACATTAATTTCACCATTTGATTTTTAACCAATTTATTCCTTTTGTATTTTTAGTTATATTTTCAATCATATTGAATTTATATATTAATTTTAATGTTATTACTTTATTGTTATATTGTATTATAGTTGGTAAGTCCTTTTAATTATTACATATTGTAATTGATACAGGTTATGTATTGTATATTATAATAATCTTAAAGTATATTTAAAACATTTAAAACTAAAATGAAAATTTATTTAAAAGGATTACTTTTAAGTAAATTTTTAAATAGGTTTTTAGGTCAAATCAGGTTTGAAGTAAGCTCAAACTTGAGCCGTGAAAAAAACTATATACAAGCTTTAGGTCAATTTTAAGTTTTTGATTTATTATATAAGCTTAAATTTATTTAATTAAAGTTTAACTCAACCTAATCTATTTTTATTTTACTCTCAATAAACATGAACTTTTAGTTGGATTGTTGGGCTGCCTCTTGTAGCCATAATTTCAGGGACTTCACAATTCACATGCTACGGCTGCTCTCGTTTTTCTCGAGTCAACAACAATAACTTCTAATAACTACTCATTTTTATTGACTGATTTATTTAACTGTATTTTTCTTATCTACTTTTTAAAAAATAAATAATTCACTAAAAATTGCCGCGTTCACTTGTGTTTGACATGGGAAAAAATGACGTGCACATTGTAAAAATTCTTCTTTGCAAACACAACTTTATAACTTTTATCCAATTACGCATCCTTGAAGAGTTTTACCAGGGGAAAAAAAAAAAGATGACAAAAAAAGTGTCATTTATTGCGCTTTATATGATGAGTTTCTTCCATTTAATGGTGGGTTGGGTCTTTTTCTCAGACAAATATTCTTTCCGTCGTTATATATAAAAGATGTTTCTAGCAAAATAACAATAAAAATTTATTATTTTATTGAAATTATATGTTTCTTTTATTTTTATATATAAAATATTTTTAATTAATCTCACATACCAATACAAATAAAATTTTATTATTTATTTGAAATTACATAAAATTACCATGACTTTCTAGTTTTTTTCTTAATAATGTCATAATTAATATCATGATAGTAATGGATAGAACACACAGTTAATATTTCCTTTTTCAAGATAATGACAGAATTATTTAATTACTCAAAAAAAATATAATATTCCTTATATTTAAAAATAAAATAATTTTTTTGAAGACATTTTATATAAAAAAATCGGAGGGAATAAAAGCACAATAATTAGTTTTGATGTTTATGTTTGTCTTTTATGTTTGGGTCAATTTTGATTGTAATCTTTCTGGCCTTCTATATTTTTCAAGTTCTGAGCTTAAGAGGAAAGCCCATTGGACTTTTGTCTGCAATTGTCTCGCTTTGTTTATTTAATTTTTTTTTTAAATAATGAGCGTTAAACCTAATAAAAAAGACTGGTCTCTCATAATATGACAAATTAAAACTTGAATTCCTATTAAGATTAGTGTAAGTATATACATTTTTCTTATAAAAAATGTCTAGTTTAAATTCTAAAATTCAAGTATAACCAAACCAAATTTAGAGGTAAGTAAATATAAAGATTTAGTCATGTTCTTCAAATATTAACATTATTAAAAAAATGTATTACTAAGTAATTATTTTTTATGAACAAATAATAAATAATAAATTTATTGAAAATATTTAATTTAGAAATTTATTAGTAAATAGTCTATTAATATATGTAAATTAAAGTCAATATAAAAATTATTAAAAGAAATAAAGAATTACATGAACATGAAAAATAAGACTTTTACTATTAATTGGACAAAGCTTAATACCTTATAAGCTCAAATATACTTATAATAAAACAATTTTAAAAAAGGAATTTTAAAAAAAAAATCACTTGGTCAAGCTTCCATGACCGGTCAATTTGTAGCCTAGCTTCACAGCCTGCAATGCAACTATCTCAAAATGTTAAAAAGGCAAAGAATATATTACTAACGACTGTTTGGAGGTGACCTAAAAATAAAAGGCAAAAAGAGTATTGTTTGACAGTGATGAACAGTACTTTTGACCATCTGAGGTCACTTGAAAATAGAAGGCATAAAAATACCGGTTCACTTTATTAATTATTTTTTAAAATAGTGAAGTAATCTAATTTATAAATTATTGAATTAATAGGGACATTTGCACATATAATTATTTCATAAAAGCAAGTAAAAGAAATAACCTATCCTTTCTTAAATTTAAAAAATGACCTTTTTAATATTTAGTTTATAATTAATTTATAAAATTGTCCTTTTAATATTTACTTTTTGTAAATATCAGAAGATTCAAAACGTAAAAAATCTCTAGAATGAGAGAGATGAATGTGAGAGAGAAGATGGAACTGGAGGTGAGAGAAATGAATGCAAGACAGCAGAGCAATGTGAGAGAATCATAATCACAACCGCGAAGACAAACGCAAGGTGAGATATATCGACGAAACAAAGCACATCGACAGGGAAATGGAGCTACAAATTCATATTGTTTATTTTTTTTAGTTTAGATATTTAACTTTCTATGATAAACTAAGAGTGCAAAAATATTTGTGTATTCTATTTGATTTGTTTTGGAGAAATGATTGTGTGTTTTTCGTATTACTAATTCACAATACTACATCGTTGATCTACTATTGTATATCACTGATATACTATCATAGATCAACAT